CTTCTTTCCTGCCTATGCAGGGGGTCGGACTCGATGATCTATTGAGGTCCCTTCCGGCCCTAACATCTATGAATCTATGAATCTATGACTTCACCCTGGCCCAAACCTGCCAGCCAAATATATGGCTGGGGTTCAGCCCCACACAGTGGGCTAAAATGCAACAGCTGTGAAACAGCCAAAATGGCCCAGGCTTATGGTTGCAGCCTGGACATCTGGTCTCAGCTATATCACCATGCTGAGACACTAGGGTCCCCAATGCAGGGGTTCAGTAGTGTTGCCCAAATGGCTAGTTTCGTGCCCCTGGAGGCTTGCCCAATTTTATCTCAAGGAGAGTCACACACAGGGTGGGTCCATCCTAAGTTTATTGTTTGCGCAAACAGTGTCGACAGAGGAGCTAATGCTCAAAGCAGAGTCGACCCCGAGTCCTATTCGAGGTTACACTTTTATAGCTTACATAAACATAGGGCTACAGCGTGTCATACATCTATTGGCAGTAATACAATTTCCTTGTCGTTACGTCTCAGTCGTTAGGCCTCGTGCATCTTGCACAAGGGAGCATGAGGGACTCATATGGTTATTACTTAAGTGCTGTTACCAAACCATGGGGCCCAGATCATAATGTATTTTTACCACAATGTTGCCGGCGCGGTGAGGCTGCTCCCCTCCCCCCTCATTTCACGGTGTCCCTAGCCCTGCCCCTCCCTTCCTCATTTGCATACCAGCTCCTCCCCTCTCCCTCATTGCAGGGTTTCCCTTCCTAGCCCTGTCCCTCCCTTCCTCATCTACATGTTGGCCCCTCCCCACCCCGCGCCAGTTCCCGCCAGCCACTGCTGAAGCAGCTCGCGATGCAGCGGTCAGGTGGGTGCAGGGGGCATAGATGCTGGCTTGGAGGGGGGCTGTGGCAAGGGCCACAGCAGGGGCTGCTGCCACTGCTGGGCTGCTGCCACTGCTGCTGTGGCTGTCGGGGTGCCACTCCCACGCCCGCAGACATCGCGTTGGGGGTGGTGAGTCATGGGCCCCAGGGAGGGAGGGAGCCCCGCCAGTCAGGCTCGGGCTAGGTTGCTCCAGGAGAGAGGGAGTAGGGGGGTGTCCCTGCACGTCCTGCACCCCGCTGTAGGGTCCCCACATGTCCCCCTGGCTGCTGAGTCCAGGTGCGCAGGTGTGGGAGCATCCTCGAGGCCGCCCAGGTGGCAGGGAGGACATGGTGGGATCAGGCAGTGCCCCTTGATCCCTGCGCCCCTAGGCCGTGGCCGGACTGGACAGGCCACGCGAGTACCCACTCCTGCCCCTCCTGCTGGATGTCACCCCGAGAAAGCGCCTGCAAATAAGAAATTAAAGATCTGTGATGCATTTCAACCAAGTATTTGAAAACTAGGAGGCATGAAACCATGATAATAGAAAGCTCTGCTAAACTTTGGAAAAATCAGATCCCTGCAACAATTCTCTGGAGTAAATATAGCACGATGTCAACAGAAGTTTTGCATTAAAAAATTATTTTTACTCCTCTGCAAATTGTGGCTTTCCATGTGGACAAAGGCAGGGAATTAAGGGTGCAGCTGGGTGGTACACTCCTTTCCAGCACTGCTAGGGGGGTGTTTAAAATAAAACAGTGCTACCAGACCAAATTGTTTTTATTTTGGATTTTAAACCACATTTCCAAACCCATTGCATTGCCAGTTACTGCAACTTCATTGGTGTCAAAGGTCACATGAGAACACTTCCTGATGTGATACCACTTCCTGTGAGGTCTTTGAATATGGCTCGCCAGTCTACTGGGTGATAAAAAGTTCATGATCTGGCCCCACATTCAAAAAAGTTGGACACCCCTGGTTTAAGAGCTCGGTGGTATAGCCCTGACTAGAGCTCTGAAGTGGGTAATGTCTCATTGCTTCCCAGGGTTGTGAAAGTAAATTAATTGTGGAAGGTGGAAGGCACCATTTCATGATGAGAGGACTGATTTAAAACGCTAGTGGAATCTGGATGGAGTGTCATCCTCGCTTAGGCTAGGGACAGACATTACACATACACCAGTGTAAGTGATCAGAAACTGGTTTAAATCTGTAACAACAGATGTTCAGTGCACATAAACTAGTTTGAAAATGGCTGAAACCAGTTTGAGATAAACGTGGTGGAATGCAGTATCGGACATAACTAATTTGGCTCAAATTGGTTTATGCAATGTCTGTCCCAGACCCCTTGATGGTTTAAGTTAAACCAGGCTATCCCAGCATGCTGTCTGGAATGGGCAGGGTGCTCTGCTTTACAGCAGGGTTGGCCCTTCCCCTCTGCTCCCTGGCTGCAGCTCCAGCAGAGACTGCAGGCACCTGCCTAGCTTCTGCTCACCCCTCCCCTCTAAGCAGGGGTCCCCCATCCCCTCTGCCTTACACAGACACATAGCATTAGCTAGCAGACCACATGCTGGCTACGGTCCATGCTGTGGCAGACTGGACAAAGGCAGAATCAACAGGTAGCTGGTAATGTCCTTCTGTTGTTTTCTAAAGGGGGTGATAACACTGTTATCAATTCCCTGGTGGGCTGCTCAGGAGGGGGTGGGGAACTCTTGTCCTGCCAGAGCCTGGTCACACCCCCCTCATCTCAGCACTGTGAAAGGGAAGGGAGGGCTGCTTTAGCACCCCTTGGTTTCTGGTCTGAGCCACTGCAGGCATGTGCCTACATTTTTTCAGTCCATGGGGGATGTCTTTATGATTACAAACTGGTTTAGCCCAGCCAGGCTAGACTAACCTGCAAAGATTGAGTCAATTTAGGCTCAGGATTTTGAATGTCTGTCCCTAGCCTTAGAGCTTCACTAGAGGCCTATACAGCAGCTTCTGTTTGTCTTGTTGCAGTCTACGTTCACCTCCTCCCTGATCTCCCACATGTCGTCTGCTTTGAACGAGGCAGCCATTTCAAATGATTTTCCCTTGCCTGACCTCAGAGAGGCTACACCTATTTGTAGTTACACAGGCTCTCCCTTCCATGGCTTTAACTCCTGTTGATATATAAAAACTCTTAATGCCTTATTTTGGGCTTATATGTGCAACTTGATTCCTGCCTGTGCACCTGCGTGTGATTTAAGCTCTCAATATGTCTTCTGCAGCATCTGTGTACCCTGAGTTCTTTCTAGGTACAGTCTTCACAGAGTCACTGATGAGAGGCACTAGAGGGAAGAGGTAGAAGTTTCTGTATCAGCCATCTGGCACTGTAGCTTTTCACTAAGAGTGGCAGAATTTGTGTGTCCCTTCAGCTCAATGGTCCTCCCAGCCCTGCCCGTGGGGGAAGATTTTTCCTTAGGAATGGAAGTGAAGAGCAGTGTCCAATCAGAATGGCAGGGGGTAAATTAAGCAGGCAAGATGTAATTATTCAAGTTGGAAACCAGCCAGGACTGTGGGCTTAAGACATCTCATTTTGGGAAAAGTATCATGGGATATTGTAATGACCACAAATGGGACAAGTACCTGCTCTTGGATCTCATCCAAAAGGTAGCAACTGTTGTAGCTCAGCATCTCTGAGCACTGTGTTGAGGACACACTGATTTGGTGCTGACCATAGTGGGCAGAGTACCAACTTTCAAACCATCAGCACTTTTTCCTTCAGCACCTGGTTTTAGGCTGAACTAATGGCCCCTGGTAATCCTACAAGAGTCCTTTCCATGTGATTTCTACTTTTAGAGATTTGTCAGTGGTATAGCCTGTCAGCCTGTAAGTTGTAAAGGGATCATTTATAGGAATAGTGATAACTGGCTAAAGAGGGAGCAATATGGAACCTTTGTCCATAGCTAGCTGAACCCACTCAGCAACCTGTCACTTGAGCCAGGCGCAAAGCTGCACATTTAGATCACCTTTCAAGCCCATTCAGTATCATTAACTGCCACCAAACAACTTTGTTTCCTTTGCAATCAGTCAAATAATGTGTTTATTGTTTGTCTCATTTCTTACTGCTCAGCACAAACCCCAACCCATGAAATATAGCTTTTGTCAACCCTCTGGGTGCTGTCTGTGGGCACTGTGCTGATGGCAGGGGACTTTTGGCTGTTCTTGCTCAGGGCAGGGGGCAGTATTCAGATGAAATCAAGCAGTTAATGACCTACACTTTAGCTACTGGTAATACAAGATAACTTGTAACATGGCAAGGCTAGGATACAGGTAGCATGCAAGTACTCAGAGGCTGTGGTTTCCTCTCTACAGTGAGAGCATATATCTGTTGTTGTTCCATTGCTTTGCTAGTTGTGAGCATCCCTATACACGCCCTAACATGCGTGCTATCCACCAGTTACATGGCATGATGATTCGGCAGATAACCCTTCCTCCCTGGTAGCAGTAGGGGTAGGGGTAATACCCCAGCAGAGGTTCACACACCCGCTGGCAGTAGCGGTTGCCCCGGCGACACTGAGCGCAGCAATAGCCCCTTTCATCCCACAGGGGGTGGAACTCGAGTCCGTTCTCTGACTGGAAGAAGAAACAAAGCAGGAGAGTGTGAGGGAGGAGTCCCTGAGAGGGGTCTAGGCATCTTCAGGGAGCTGCTGCTGACATGTTCCTGCTGGCATGTTGCTCCTTTAGCATCTAGTCAAATGGCCCAATGGGTAGACTGGGCAATCCCTCAGAATTTGGTACTTCTGTGAGAGGGCAGCAGCTAGTAAATCCAGCTCATGTAGGACAGCTATAATGTGGCTCTAAGGAGGGCAATGTGAGCACAGCACTGAGCAGACAGAAGAAGAAGGGAATACGATGATACTGAGTGTCTGGGAATTTTTGTGCAAGCAAAATTGCTTCTTACGATATCCTGTCAGTCGTTTGGTATGGGGCTCTCATTACTATGATATCTGAGTGCCTCACAAAATCACTGGGAGGCAGGGAAGCATTATCCCTATTTTACAGCTTGGAGGTTCAAAGTGCAGGTTTTGTGACTCACACAGGCAGTCTTTGGCTGACCCAAGAACTGACCCCTTCTGCCCCTGAGGTGTCCTGAGTAGCAGTCTGTTGGACCTCTTTTTATTCCTATTCCTTATGCTGCTGAGTCAAATATGATAGAGGATAGCAACACCTCTATTTTGTTAATGATGAATTATTCCAACTATCATGATCTACTCTGAGCTAACTACGTTTCAGTAGCTAAACAACTGGTACGACAGCTCCACATCAAACTCATTTCATCCTTGTTTATTGGGATTCTTCTTTCAATAAAATGCTTACTGTTCTCTTAGATAGTTCAGGGTCTTATGTCAGGCAGGGAGATGAGACAGGTTTTCAAACAGGCCATATTATATAGTCTAACATTCTTTCTTTACAAATTCAGCCCCATTGTTAGATACTGACAGTTGCTCAATAATTATTCCCGTGGACTCACATAGTCGTTTACAGGAAGATCCTCTTCTGTCAGCTGCCGAGCCTGGCGTTTTGCCTCTGGCCTTGCTGCCTTATCCACACGATGCTTATTCTGTTCCTTGTCCCAGTCTTGTTTGTTCACAAGAATCTGGACATCATCTTCCCCACCACTGTCAAAGTCATGGAATTCAGGAGCTAAAAGCAACAGCCCAAACAATCATTGTAAGCAACTGCTGAGGAAAGATCTTAGGAAGGTAAGCTGTCGATGGTGTGTTCCTCTAAAATAATATGGCTGAGTGCTCCAAGAAACCTGAAAACAACAATAAACACCACCCAACGTCCCCCCACTCCCCCAATGGTTCTACATTATACAAACTGGAAAATGAGAAAATGTCTGGTGTGTTGCTGTGATAATGAGCAGGGGAAGAAACTGGTCCCCACTGAGAGCTGGCACTTCCACAGGTTCAACTAAGTGTAAATGCAGGTCTTAGATTTTACACCCAGGGTCCATTTCTTCATGGTCCCACAATGGTATTAGCCTGCATTGCTACAGATACGCCAATTGTGAGGCCTAATGATGGCCAATGGAAAACAGCAAGACAAAAAGGACTTAACTCAGGAACTCAGTGGCTACATTTTTTCTGTTAAATGCAGCAAGCAGGTGTTTTATTAGGCTCTAAAGACAGTATTAAGTTACTTAGTAATTTGAATGGAAAATGAAATACTAAGAGAGAGTAATCTGTGTCAGTGCAACTGGGTAGACCGGTGTTCTTTGGGTGTGTGAACTGGTGCTGAATGACATGTAGAGGTATAATTCCCATCAATATTGGCCCCTTCTCAAGGGACAATGTGATGTGTGTAAAAGGCTGAATCAATTCATAGTACCCAAATGGTAAAATATGCTACCTGTGAGGTGTTCAGCCAAGTGGAACTTGTTCCAATGATGTAATGTTTTATGTCATCACAGTGTGGTACAGTCAGGTGACTTGTGGGTGGAATTTGCTTTAAATTACATGGCAGTGGATATTTTCATGCTGCAGTTTAACTGGGCTTGTCAACAGAGCATCTCTCTTTCTACTTCACGTCCAGACTCTTAACAGCTATCAGTCCAAGCACAAGTTCCTGTTCTCTTTTTAAATAATGTAATACTATTTTCCAGTATGCTAATACTTTTTCATCTGAGGCTCTCAAAGAGTTTTAAAAAATGAATTATCATTTTGCAGAAGGGAAACAACCACTAACATGTTAGGTGAGTTGTCTAACATCACATAGTGACAAAGTCTAGATGTTCTACTTTCCCTTAACCTATTCCAACTGTTTGGCACTGTCCCCTGCAAGGAACCAACAAACGAATGCTTTTTTTTGTTATGTTTGAACCCATTCCACAGAAGGTATGGTGGTGGAGGGCTGTTAATGAAAGACAGATTGGCTTTTTGCAGGCAAAAGGCCTGACAAGCTCTAATAGTGGTTGATTTGTCATGGCTGTAATAAAGAACCTGTCTATATTCATTTATGTGATTTGCAGTTCATCTGTGAAAACTTTCTCCATGCCAGCTCTTAGCATGCAAGACTTCAGGAAGGGAAGACAAGAACAGGTTGTTGACTACACAGTGCTGTTCCTGGAGAGAGGGATAGGTTAAGGCATTTGCAGCTTAGGACACATGCTGCAGGAAGGATGAAATGGACTATTTTACCTGTTATCAAAGTTGGGTGGATCCAGTGTATGGTCACATTTTTGCAAATGTCAAAAATTTTAGAGTTCTTTAGGAATTCTTTGTTTTCAATAGGTTTTTCTCCTGGAATCCAGACCATGGATTGCTCAAAGTAGGTTGTTGTAATGACATTTCCCTGAAAAATGAATGCGATTTCATTTTGGCATATTGGATTTTAACCCTCATGCTCCTTCTACAACTCCTCAGGTTCCCTTGCTTCTGCCTCGACCAGTTAGAGCAGTTCAGAGGTTGCACTGTGCTTTTAAAGCTCTAGAATTTTGTCCACTTTGTTTCATGGGCAAATTTTGACCTTTGGTCTTTTGCTGGTGTAATGCCAACTAATCCCAATGGAGTTGTTCCTGATTTGAATGAGAGTTAGCAAATTAGTTGCTTTCTGTACTTCCTTTGTTTGTCCAGTACTAGTTTCTCCCCTTCCCTATCTCATTTCCAAAGCCTTCTCCTCCTGCCATCTGAAACAAGTTGCCTCCCTCCACCTCATCACTTCTCCAACTCATTTCAAACTTCAGATTAAAACATCTGTACCTGTTAATTTCTCTCTCCTTCTGTTTCTGATTTTGTGATCAAGCACTAATTTATTCCTTGCATGATTCCTTTGCAGCTCTGATTTGTGTAACGTACACATCCCCTATATTACATTGCTTGGTAATGTTTTTTGGCATTCCGATTTTATGAAAGATGATATAAAAAGATTATTGGATTGGACTGCACTGAGCAAACTGAAGTGTATATGGAGAACCCTGGTGTGCTACTTCTGCATGTTCGTGGTGGTGATATCCAAAAAGTAAATTATGGAACAAATATAGAGCTACTTGGAAAACTGATTTTTCAATATTAAATATGTTTTGTGAAGGTGTTTCATTTGTGTAGAATATTTTTTAAATCTTTTGGTCACCACCAAAAATTATCTAAGTAATTGAAAACTATTTTTTGGCAGAACTCTAAAGAAAACATTCCATTTGACAGTTTTTGAGGATTACCTGATTTTTTTTCCATTAAAATTTCCATTTAACTGAAAAGTTTTGTTATAGAATTAAAAAAAAGGTTTCACTTCCTTCAACCAAATTGAGGCCCATGTAATGAATTCCAGTGTACCTCCTGCCTGCTGCCAGCTAATCCATCTCTGGAAAGTGTTCCCTTCATTATAAATCTGGAAGCAGTTTCAAACAGCTTTGAGAGAATTGTTTCCTCCTTTCACCTTCCCCCACATCGCTACATGTGCTCAAGGTTCAGTGTAAGCAATATTAAGCAGGTTCAAGGTCCAATATTTGACTATATTCCCCTACAAAGGCCTGCCTGTGACTTTCCTTTTCCTAATGGAAATGCTTAGCCTTCACTTGCAGATATGGAAGTGCCAAGGACACTAGACCTGAAAAACATGATGTTTTAATGTGCAGCATACTTTTTTTATAATGATTTTAATGGTTGTCATTATTGTTGATCATAAAAGAACCTGGCCTTGTTGAAGGAGAAATAAAACTATATATTCCCGATAAAAAAGTTTAAAGCCTCTCTAAACCTTCATAACATCTGTGATGGATCCTGTGTTGGGTGGCATGATATTAGAAAAGATGGTATAGTGCAGGGGTGGGCAATTATTTTGGGTGGAAGGCCACTTACTGAGTTTTGGCAAGCCGTCGAGGGCCACATGTCAGACAGCCAGGGGCAGATAAATATTAATTTTCTAAATTTTTAGGGGCCCTGTGGGCCGGATAGAATGGCCTGGTGAGCCGCATACAGCCCACAGGTTGCATTTTGCCCACCCCTGGTCTGGTGGATGGGGACCTGGGGATACTGGGTTCAGTTCCCTGCTCCACTACACATTTCCTTCAGCACCTGGAGCAAGTCACTTAGGGCACGTCTACATGTGCGCTTTAATGCACATTAGCCTATTTTAATGTGCATTAAAGCACCATGTAAACCCCCCCTGTGCTTTTTACTTAATGCACATTAAAATAGGCTGATGCACGTTAAATGTCACTTAAAAAGTGTGCGCTTTAGTTAATGAGCATTAAGCCAGGCCTATTGCACATTTTTTTAGTACCTCACAATGGAGGTATTAGATTGAATGTGCATTAACTGTTACTCTCATCAGTGTCTATTTGGAAAACAGCGCTTCCCTATAATGCAGGGAGGTTGTGCAGTTAAATGCATGAATGATTGGATGTGCTCAGCTACTTCTGGGATAGGGCTGTATCAGTTCTTACACAGCTCTGATTTGGAGTGGACTACAAACCCAAGCATTGATACTGACCATGCTGGTACCATTTGTAATCTACAATGGCCATTGCTTGTTTTGTCTGCAGAGAAGTGCAGCGGCACTGCAGACCAGACGTATGTCTCCCTTGGTGATGACTTACCATTAACTAAGGAATAAGGGTCTGATCTGGCTCCCAGGGTATTGAGAGAGACTGGTCCCTAAAGAAGCAGAGATGAGGACCAGGATGCTGGCTGTGGCAGGGCATCGCCTCCAAGGTCAGATTAAGCGTGAAAACCTACATCTTCCTGGAAAACTGAACACAGAATAAAAAATGGATCCTGTATCCATTTAGCATGGTAGGCAAGGTGTCCTGCTTGGCTCACCTGAATTCTACTGTAAAAATTGTCAGGCCTTGGAGATTTTTCCCCATTGAAAGGGTATTTAGTGGGCTGAGTTCCATGCACAGAGTTTGTGCAATAATAAAGGGACTCTGTTTTGGCTCCAAAAACTGGATTTTTATTTACATGCAGTGTACTTTTGAGCTGCTGCTTATAGCCATGTAGTGCATTGTCCACTCGGAACTGTTACACAATCATGGAGTATGGAGTTTTCCAGAAGCTTACTGGCGTCATCTTTCAAATTGTGTCCCCTGCCCACCCTTCCCCTCCTTCAAATTGTGCCCCCACTTGGGCTGGATACAATGTCTTGACCAAAAGAGTCCCTGTCTGTGCCATTTCTTGAGTGTATTGGGAGGACATTCTTCTGATAAGCCTAACTGAGATTTCGGGTTGTACTATAAATGTATTAACTCCTATTCCATGGCCCTTTTCACTGCACCTTGGGATTTGCAATCTATTTATCTATTTATGGTTCATCCTGCAGCCTATTCTGTGTCTAAAGTGGCCTGTAAGTCCCAGTTTTAGTTTTCAGAAATACTAAATGCCCCACAAACAGGAAAGTAAGCATGGGGCACTGATCCATGATCTGGTCAATGCTGCACTGTTTCACCTTCTGAATGGCTTTCTTCTCCCTCTGTTGCTGCAAACTGTGCATCACCAGCTGCCAAAGGATGATGCAGAAAATTTGGAGTGTGGGGGAAAGAAGGCTGTCTGCTCAGCATTTGCATGTGTGCTCTTCCTCTTCAAAAGCCAGGCAGATTTGTAGAAAAAAAGTTACTAGACCTTATGTCTAAATTTATCTCCTTGGGTTTTGCACCTTCGTTCTCTATCCTGATTAATGTTTTGTTAAAGATAAAGTCATTTTTTAATGATGAGAACGCAAAAATTCTATTAGAGTCTCATGAAACAACCAACAAATCTGTTTCTGAAGCCTTAGAAGGAGAGTCCCTCAGGAATTAGGCTGTGATTTAGAAAAGTACTTCTGCACATGCTTAATTTTAAGCACACGTTGAAGTTCTGTTGGCTTCTGTGAGATTTCTGTCTGTGCTTAAGTGCTTTCCTGAATCACATTTCCTAAATGTGGCTGCTCTTTTAATTCACATATTTTGCATAAGTCCTTTAGAGAGAGCAAGGCAGATCCTTATTGGAAAACTGATTCGACTGATTCTTGGCGTCTGCTAATCCTGAGCTGTCTTGTGGCCTTTTGACTACAACAGGATTATTGTTCTTGGTCTTTGGTATTGTGCTGAGGGGGATTTTTGTCTGTCTTCTGTCTAATCCAATCTTTGAATTGTTAATTTTTCCAACAAGCCTCTGTAACAAGATACCTTTATAAAACCAACACAGTGCTCATATATGTTTTAGAAGCAAATTAATAGGGAAGGATGGAACAGATGGAATTCCAGTGAGAATACTAATCTGTTTTCCAGAGAAATTTATCAAAGTTAGTTTCACATGGAGTAGCTTACGCAGATTTTTATAATATTTTATTTACATACCTCAAGTTCCTGTATCTCGGCCTCTGTAGTTTCAGGTATTACTTTAGTCTGAGTTTTGATGAGGCATTTTTGTAGTCCCACAAAAAAGATGCCAGTTATTCCCTAAAGCAACAACAGCCACACATACACAGACTGTCAAGTTAAGGAAATACAAAAGCTTAAATAGCAGCATAAAAATGTAATTGATTATTCACTCTTTTGTTAGGATTCTGTCCAGCAATGGTTCTAAGAAGTACCAAAGATTTTTTTTCTAAGGCATGTTGCAACGTATGGGTTTGGACAATAGGGCTAGTTACAAATGGCTAAAGGCAGGGATTCATAAAATTCTGCTCCAATCCCCTTGTCCTTATAACTGTCACCTGCTCTAGTGGTCATAAGTAAATGCATGCAGACTATAATATGGCCATTATAAATCTATGGACATCTAGCCTTCGATTTCTGCTAGACTAGCAGATGAAGATTTTACTATATGTTATTTCCCATGGATCTTATATGTCACTGTCCAAAGTATAATTAGTTTTCCCAGTCTTAGCAAGTGCAGCCACCATAGGGCTTATGGAAGCAACAATCCAGGACTGCTCTTAGGATTTGATTTTACTGGACACTGAACATTGGATATACAGTAATCCAACAAAGTCCTTAAGCATGTGCGTCATTTTAAGCATCCAAGTAGCCCCATTGAAATTGAATCCTTCGGCAGTTAGTGAAGAATAATTATGCCATGGAAAGAATTCACCTGGGGGGAACAATATGATTAGGAATAGGAAGCAGTGGTTAAAGTCCCTGAGAGTTTGCTCTGGCAATGAAAGTAATGGAAGACTTGGATTCTGTTTCTAGCTTTGATCTTCTTTCTGTGTGATGTTGGGCAGGTCATTTAAGCCTGTGCCTGCCCCAGTTTCTCCCTCTGTCTAATGGAGTAGTTATATCTACCTCTCAGGGTTATTCATCAGTTATTTCAAAATACATGAAGATAAAGGTCTCTAGATCCCAAATCTTATCCTTGGAGGTCCCCCATCCAATACTGTCTAGCCCAGCCCTGAAGTTTAATACCCAGTGCAGGAGGGCTACAGTACAAGGGGAAGCCCATTTGATTCTTCTCATGTCACTGGGACCAGAGCACCAATTACTTTTGCTTATAAGAAGCTGGGCCAAAACCACAGGTTCCTGAAATAAACCATCTGATGGTCATACTGTTATAGGGGCAGGCAATTATTTCGGGTGGAGGGCCGCTTACTGAGTTTTGGCAAGCCATCGAGGGCCGCATAACAGGCAGCCAGGGGCAGATAAATATTAATGTACTACATTTTTAGGGGCCCCAGGGGCTGGACAGAATGACCTGGTGGGCCACATCTGGCCCATGGGCCGCATTTTGACCACCCCTGTGTTAGGAAGTAACTTTTTAAGCTATGCTGCATTCAAACTAATGGTACAGAGATAAAAGCACTCCTGTGTTGCGACCCACCCCTGTGCTTTCTAGTTATTCAGCTGTAGATGCTTTAGCAAAAAACAATTGTACTTACATTTTTAAAGTCATGTATTTCCAAGATTTCCTCACTGCCATTCCCAGTTCTAAATGACTCGGTTCTAGTTAGAGGCTCTATCTCCATCAAAATAGTCTTCTTCTCACCATTGCTAAAGAATGTATGCTCCATGTCATATATCTAGGAGGATGAGTAAATAAATGGAGACTGATAGGTGCACCCCAATTCTTTTAGTTTTTACTGAATAAACTGTAGTTTTACAGTATGCTTGTGTAGTATTCTCTGAAGTAATTACAATGCTACTAAGCAATTAAGCCAAGGGGCCAGGTCATCTCTGTCTTCTAATGTGTGCTGGTTCTTTAACTGCTTCTTGGCTCACTTGGGGAAAAATCCTGCCCTGAATAGAGACAAAATACCCTGAATTTCCATGTTTACATCCCATTGAGACAGATGCAGGAAACCTAAGACAGAGATTGACCTCACTGGGAGTCTTACTGGAGTCAGCAGTCCAGGATCAGGCCCTCAGTCTATATATATAATATTAGTATCATGCCCCATTGTTCAGATATGGATTTTGAACATCTCAATATTGGTCTTTCCCAATAGCAGATGGTGGGAGGAGGTAGATTTCAAGCCGTCCAGAGTTACACCATAATTGGAAGAGCAGAGCATACTTGCACCCATCTAGTCAGTATCCAGATGCTGACAGTGTCTGGTACCAGCAGCTTCAAACCTAGGTGCAAGAAGCCCCAAGGTGAATAGTTATGGAGTAGCCTGCTCAGAGAGGAAGTTTCTCACTGGCTCTTCTAGTTGGCAGGTAGCTCATGCCCTGAAGTTTGAGGAGTTTCTCTCTTTTTAATGTGTTAAAGTTTGTTTCATGCCACTGTGGATGTTCCCATTCCCTCTCTCCATGCATAATGTTTTGTTTAAAATACTGTTAAGCTCTTGGCCCCAGTAATATCTTGTGGCAGTGAGTTCCGTAGGTCAACTGTGCAACGCATGAGAGAGTTCCCTGCTGCTTGTGTTTTTAAATATTGTGTCTTTTACTTTGAAAGGTTCCCTGTTTAGCAAGGGAGCTCAGTATTTACCCCCTTTTTTCCCTTCAGTGCAGCCCTAGAACATACTTCTCTCTTTGTTCTAACCCATCCTTGATTGCAAGGCTTGCTTTAAGGCTTCATTTTCCCCTTCTGTTCCCCAGAAGACAGGCTGTGTCAGGAAGGTGAAAGCAGGTTCAGGAAGAGAAAAATTAGTGTGAATGGGTGGTGAGGAAGTAAGGAGCAATTGTTGTTATTGTCTCTGTCTCTGTACAGTTAATGCTACCCATGCATTTTATTTAGTGAAATGTCTGCAGATTTAAATAAAGTAATGCCAGAGCAATAGTGTTTCTTTCATATTTAATACTCAAATGAGTGTTTAATCCCTCAGGTCCCCACTAGGGGCCTCTCCATACATTCTGGAACTCTGTCCATGCATACTGCACCTTTTCTAAGGGTGGATTGCAGTGATGCAAGCTGGTCAAAAGCTACTACAGACTAAAGTCTTCTCTGTGCTGTGCTGAGATACTCCATTCCAACCTGACATAGGGGTGCTAAGTTTGGGAGTTAGATAACTCCTTTCTCTTTTTAGTGCAAGTGCTCTGGCTCTCAAGGGCAGGGGAGAGAGGACTCAGGAAACTGGCCAGCCCAGGCCCTGTGCTCCTAAGGGGAATCCAATCCATCCCTGAAGCAGGGGGTGTAGTGGAAGCCCAACATTTTGGGCCACCCCTGCCTCAAGGTCCTGTGTTGTGCAGATTGCTGCCAGTAGCTCTTAACAAGAATTCCACTGCACCCCTGCCCTCGGGAACCTGTGATGCCTCCTTTTTTCCCTCCGAAAGAGCCCTAAAAATTGCGCTCAAGTTATCCATATGGTTGGCATGTAATCAGGCTCTTGACAACCTAGAGCTTTGTACTTGCAGTGCATACAATAAAGATACTAAATCAGCTTTTTTCTATGAAGTTTTTATTTTAGCATTTCAGTGCATTTAACCCCATGGATCCTTTGCTTGGTTATTTGATTCTGTTGGATTTTGGGATTGCAGTAGCAGTTGAGGGACTTTTCAGTGAGGGAGTTATTAATTTATATTCAGAGGGAAAGATCTGTTTTTCCTAAAACAGAACCTGAAAACTCGGGGTTGGCTTAGAATCAATACAGCATTGTAATAAAATAACGTCTGCTAGGAAGGGTTCCCCTGCAGCAGGTGCAGAAACAGGAGCTCTGATTGCTGATGGATGTTTTGCTGCCACCAAGTCTGCTGATAGGAGCAAACCCATAGATGCATTCATTGCAACAGCAAACTTACATAGCAGGGAAGGCCTTGGAGTGAGGTATGTGCAGGTTGGCAGGGAGGGAGTTAATCTGTTTTACATTGGCTGTTGACTGCACCTAAGTGTCAGGGCTTGTATTGGGAGGAGCAGGGCTGGGCTAGGCTAGATGCATGGATGTATTCAGTCCTCTCCCTGCTTCCCTCCCTTAGCCTTAGTAATGGAAGGCTGCATTCTCCAAAGTGCGGGGTGCAGCACCCTGAGGGATACTTGGTTGGCTCTGTATGAGGTGCTGAGGGCTGGAGTGGCAGGATCTCTAGGAACAAGGGTGCAGCTGATAGCATGCTTCCTCCTTCCTTTCTCCTTAGAGGTTGCGTGAAATTTGCCTGAAGCCAGTCCCCTTGTGCACCACAGCTTTGGCTGAGGAAACTCTCACTTTGCTTGTTTGGCCTTTCAAGGGCTGGGCTCTCCTTTTCATTTTGTTTCAGCTCAGAGGGGTTTAAACTCCACCCAAGCTTGCAGCACCATTGCTAGCTGCTGTTGATTTGTCTGTCCAGCCTGGAGGAAGAGAAGGAGACTTTATAAGGAAAGGAATCATAGGCAAGATGGTCACTGCAGTGATCCAGTGGCTGAAGTTGCCGACTGGATAACAGAATACACAATTTTCTAAAAATTGGAGGCAGCACTGCATGTGAAGCCTTTGAAGAATGCACTGTTTGACCTGAGCAGTTAACTGCCACATAAGGCTTTGCTGGTGTTTCCATTAGGCAGAGAAATTGTTGCTGAAGCAAGTGTTCTTCGGTGCTGTCCTATTTATTCATCAGAAACCAGAGGATCCTGTTTCCCTGGGCATGGTAGGATCAAACAACAAGAGCAGTTTCCTTTGCTCACACTGTCCAACCTGCCTTTCCAAGAAATGCCCCCCCGTCCCAGCAGGGATTCTCCAAAAACTCTTTCTTTTGATATTTGCAGCTTTCTCCTCAGGCAGACCATAGTACAAAGCAATTACTTAGCCCCTTTGCATTTCCAACCAGGTTCAAGGAAACCCCTCAGACCTCCACAGCTGCTAAGGTTTCCCTGTGCAGTGAGGTGCCTTGGGCAGTGGCTTCTGTTGACTCTAGTATCTCATTTTATAAGAGAGCCTAACTACTCCTTCCATTTATCTTGAAAAAAGAGGCGCCCTAACGAGGTCTGTGATTATCTGTGGTTAAATTTATGAAGCAACTCTTTGATCTATAGCTTCCAACAGAACAGTATGCCACATCTCTTGTACTTTTCCTGTACCAGGACACAAGAGAGCAGAGAGTTAACAGTGCATCACTGATACAGTTCCTACTACTCTTCACAGGTACCTGCTGCAGCTGCAGCTGCAGCTAGCTTTGGATGGTATGAGGAGCCCTCCCGTCTCTGTGGATGCCTGACCCTTGCTGGATGAATAGTGGCAGATGCTATTTGAAGCATAACGCTGATCCTACCAGAGCTGCCTTGGGGATTCTCTTTTCAGGATCAAACGGTGCTTCACTAAAGAGAAGCTTTGAGTAAAGGGCTCAGTCAGAGACCAATGAAGAGCTGACAGAGGTGCCTGGTTGAAAATTTGTTAATGACTTCAGCAGAGTGGCCAAGGGCTGGCAAAGCCCAATTCCCTTCTCATCCTGGGAGGCAGCCTCTCTGGCTCAGGTCTGAGACAAGTTGCGGGAGTGGTATCCGAGGAGCTTTACAGCTATTGGTGCTGTACTTCCCCTCTGGATAAAAGCAAGCATCTATCTCCAGGGCTGTCAGTTGGTACTTTTCATGATCTTTCTAATCTTTCTTTTTAACAAAAAAGACAGGCTGGCCTACGAACTGGCAACGGGCTGCAGAGCCCCTCCCTGTCAGGCAGATGACTTGATCCCCAGTGACAAAAGTCCTCATCAGCCTGTGGTAGGCCAGGGCCTGTGTGAGGTGAGTTTGGAGGGTCTCAATTTATTTCCTGGTAGACACTTATACACACCACCACCAGCTGAACCTGGCACGGTGCTGGCAGCCTTGGTAGAGCCAGGCATTGGGTGATGATGTGTGGAAGCTTATACTGCACTGCTGTGTTGCCTCCAGGGTTGTCAAGTCAAATGTTCAGGCTGTTTATGGGGGTATGGCACTTGGGGAGTGCGGCCTTTCTCTGTGCTCACACCTTCTCATGGTTATGACATTAGCAGCAACAGGGTAGCTTCACGACGAAAGATATCAGTGCTGTTTTAAGACAGGTTTAATACCTTTCACCAGGCTGTGCAGTTCTGGCTCTAAACACATTCCTGGTTACAGGTATACAGCCCACCTATGATGCAAGGATTCTTAAACACTGAGGAGAAAAAAAAGTCATTTGTTCAGCCATTTGCTTCATTGATAAGAGTATTAACTCAGAGTTCTTGTGAAACACTTTTCATCAGTAGATTTTAATGTACTTTAGGTCAGTATCATTCTTCCCATTTTACAGATGGAAAAACTGAGGCACAGAGTGAGGAAGTGGATTACCTGAGGTCACCCAGAAACCAATAGCAGAGCAGGGAATAGAATCTAAATGTGGTGAGTCCCAGGAAGATGCTATAACAAGTAGACAACTGTGTATCCTGCTTTAAAAAATGTAACTGTATTAAGAATATAATGCATATCCTAGCTAATCATGACTATTTCTCCATAGCCAGCTTAGGGTTTTTGTTTTGTTTTTTTTAAATGAAGACATTGATAGATTTTATTGTATGGAAAAATTGGGTTAAAGGCTAGAAATTGTTGGTATGCTGCCTGTTTTGGCTGACAAACTACAGGCTGGGCTTTATATCAGCCATGGAAAAAATGCTGCAGCCCTACTTTAGAATCCCTCTCTATTTAAGAGGAATGCTTTTTTTCCCTGTAAGTATGGCCAGTAACCTACTTGGAGGCTTTGCTTAGCTGCATGCTATTTGAAGAAATGTGAACTTTTTAATTGGGTTAAAGGTACTGATAGTTTTGAGAATTGTCTTAGAATTTTAAAATCTGGTGCAGGTGTAGCCCTTTGCATTGTGATGATCACCTTTTGTTAATTACCTTGTCATCTTTGTTCCATTAATGGAATGTTATTAATGGCTAAAGGCTCAGGTTAATTCAATGTTAATGTGTAAACTGGGAGTGTATGGTTCCTAAGGCATCCCACAAAGGGGAATAATTGGTTTATTACTACTTCTGTGCTTTTTTTGTCACACACAGGGAGCAGGATGGGATTTTTCTTTTTACTCTTAATGTATTTTTTTTTTTAATATTAGAAATTCAAGCTTCGTCTGTCTTGATTTTCTTGGACAACTCTATGGACAGCTGAAGAAATAGTTGTTTTGTAACTTCATAAGAGACAGAAACTGAAGAAACTGAGAGAAAAGGGCTGTTTAGTTGGCTGTTTAAAATGGAGTCTTTTTGTTGTTGCTTTTGTTAACACCAATCTTATGTACCTAAAGCTGCTGGGGGAAAAAAAGCTGTTTTTGTGAAAAATAAAAAAACAAAAAACAAAACCCCTCAACATCAAAAACCAAAACAAACTTCACTTTAGGGCCATTTTAAATTCTTCCAGCAAAATGAAAGAAGTCAAGAATCACTATTTCTACCATGAGGAAACAAGCAGGAAACTCCCTTTGTTTCTGAGGCTTTGATTTTGTATGCTAATTAAACAAAGGGCATGGGCCTTTGTACACGCCACATTTTTTGACCTTTCTTGCACTGCAGCAGCATGACTGTTTGCATGAGTGGGTTTTCCGGATGCTTTAAAAGTCTTTCTGGCACACTAAAGTGAAACTCCTCAGATGTAGTTTAGTTTGGCTTGCTGCGAATTAAAGCATCATGTCCATGGATTTGTTGTGTGTAAACACAATGGCACTAAAAGATGTGTAGTGAGCCTCTTTGTCCACCAGATGGTGCTGTGACTTTTTTGTAGCTCACCCCTTCAAATTGCTTTGGCTTTCGAATTGCTTCCTCTTTTTTTTTTTCTTGTGCCGTTTGTTGGCTCTGTCCTCCCACATCTGCATGGTAGGGCATGGGGTGGCAGGCCCTGGACTGGGGGACAGTGCTGGACTGTCCCGTTCTCCTGCGGTGCTGGCCAGGGACCAGGCTAAATTCACTTCAAAACCAAGTGCGTGCAAACACAGATGCAACACTCCAAAGTTTAATTTGTTTGAAAACCTAGTGGATGCAAACACTGATGCAATGCTCCAAAATAAACAAGTTTAAATTTTATAAACCTATTTAATTTAATGAAGATTAAACCCCGTGGTGTGTACAGGTGCCCCTCTACCATGAGGAAACAAGCAGGAAGCCCTCTTTATTTCTCAGGCTTTGATTTTTCTATCCTAATGAAACATAAAGGGTACAAGGACAACTTTTTCTTTTCTGGTCACTTTTATTTTAATAATTAAAAGATCAGGATATTTTCTCTCTCCCCTCCCAGGAACAACATGATTTAATAACTGCATCACAATATTAAATGGCCTCTATTGAACGCTTTTTAGTATCTTTATTTTCTGTTGTTTTTTGGGGGATAATTGCAAGTAATATTCCTATCCCTGCTGGCATTCATCTATTTGCATTTGGTTAATGTTGTGTTTTCTTTTGCTTCACCCTTTGCTCTGTGTTTCTTAAACACCCCAAGCCAGGACGGTTTAGCTCTGTCATTTCTCTGTGCTTCAGTAGCAGTGCTGACCCCCTAGTGTGATAACCCTTTGGATGCTCTAGCAATACTTATTCCTCAATGTAGTCTTAATCTGCCAGTCAGCAGAATATACTTTTTCAAAGGATTAACAGCTTGTGCTCCCTTTAGTTGGGAGGCATCATATATTGAGAGGAACAATAGAGACTTTATAAAGTCCTGGCAGCAGCACAAAAGTGTGTGGCTGTTTGATGATAAGAAAATAAACATTTATTTTCTTGTCAGGATAGAGTGACTCTGCTCAGCCTGAGTGGTGTGACACCATCCTTCTAAATGTACATTCTGCTTTGAAAACCTGGTCTTAGGACACAGGTATGTACTCTGGAGGGGGGTTTCTTTTTTTACAGATAACTTAAGACATCTCAGCTAATCCTGTTCCTGTGGAGTTCCACTGGCCATGTATGTCTAGGGATGGAGCTTCTAGCACCATCACCCACATAGGACTATCTTTATCTCCTGGGCTTCTCCTGGATCAGCACAGTTCTTTCTGTACATCAGGCAAGCGTCCAAAAAGGTCACATCTAAGACAGTGTGGATTCATGTATTACTGCTGAGAGGCAACCCAGAGACACAATCAATAGCTTCATCACTTGTCCTCAAAACCTTCACCGTACCTTTTTTTTTTTTTTAAGGTCATCCTGGCTACTAGACAGAAGGTCTGATATGTTTTTGTCTTAGGTCTCCTTGAGTATAGGAAAGATGCTTTCAGCTTTACAGCAGCAGCTGAGACAAGGGGGTTCTAGAGGCAGTTGTGGCCAGAGTAGGGGCAAGATGCAGTAGTTAAAAAGAGGCTGAGTTGTGGCAGACTTGCATCTGGTGATTATGCACCTCATTACATCCCCCCTAACAGTACCTAAGCAGGAGCAGGAATTAGGGCAACCATCTATTGTAGCAGAGAGCGATCCCTAAAAGGGAGGAAGACAAACTGCTCCCCTCTGTGTCTGTCCGAGCCTCTGCAGAGACAGACACATCCCAGAAGCAGCTCGTGATACTTTGTTGAGGCAAGAGTTGGCTGACTAGGTGAGAGCTCCCTTGATTCCACACTGTTAGGCTGGTGGTCCTAGGAGATCAGTATACCAGCCTTGCTGAGCTGAAGTCATGCTGCATGCTAAGAGTTATTCCTCTCAAGGCAGGGAAAAGAAAAAGGAGCCAAACTTTCCTCAGCCAGTAGCAGAAGCATTGTGTCCGACCAAATGTTATATCAGAGCTCTTAGCTGAACTCTAAAATAAACCTACTGCTTGGCAAAGAGTCTGTGTGGGATCTGAATGGAATGAAAATATCTTTACCAGATGTATGCTCAGAATAAAGGCTGTTGATTTTAAACAGATGCAGTCAAGTAAAATAATAGAAAAAGCAAGACCAGGCTTCTAAGCAACCCCAGGCTGGCAAGAGCTTTTCAGGTGCCCACACAAGTGATGCAAGTGTCACATGTTAAGTGCTACCCTGATTTCTCACGCTGCTTTTAAAACAATGTCTTCTACCAGCTAGTCTAGCAACCTCCCATCAGAGACTTTCCTTGGGTCAGACAGCATTCTACTGAGCTGGCCAGTATCTCTTTTGGGATTTTCTCTGTGATGATGGGGTGAGAGGACTAAAGCAAGTACAAAGTGCCTTGTTGGCAAAGCAGCTAGGATTCCTTCTTGGGCTGTCTAAAGGGGCTGAGTTTACAAGGCAGTGGGTATGCGCTGACTTTGCCTAAGGCTTACACTGGTGAGTGTTTTGAAAGTTGGAGATGAGGACTTATGTCTGACTGAGTAGAAGTACAAAGCCATCTGCGTGTTGGACTGAGGGCACTTTTACACGTGTTCTGGGGGGTGGGGGTGGCGCTTTAATCAGAGTGGTTCTGAGAGCTGCTCTAATTAAAGCACCACAGTGTCTTGTGTATTAGCATCTCCATGCTTCAAAATGGTGGCGGGGGTGCTTGAACTAGAGCTCATTTGACAAGCTTTACTTCAAGCGCTCCTTCCGCCATTTTGAAGTGCAGAGGCACCAATACACGAGACACAGGTGGCTGCTGGAACATGGTAACTACCATGCTCTAACAGATTAGATTAATTGAAGTGCATTGGAACAGCACATGGGAGCAGCCTTCACACTCGTGTACAAGCACCCGAGTGCAACCCTGGCTTTCTCTGGGAAGGAGCACAGTCATGGAAGTTATGGTATCATCATTATCTGAGAGAATGTCTCATGCTTAACCCTTCCCACAAAAGAGCAAGGAGACAGCACTGAATAGTTTCTGGCCTGGAGGTTATGATACTTGCTGAAGAGATGGGAGAGGTGAATTAGGGCCATAGACTGGCTAGGGTAAAGGGGACTTCCTGTTGTGTAAATTGTAATTTACATTAAATGCATTGCAGTTATATTTTCAAAGAGGGACCTAATCCAAATGTAATCTTGGTACACCCAAGGGTGTGCCCTATTCTCAATTGGATGGGACAGGTGGGCAGGAGGAGGGTACTGTGAGAGGGATGCCAGAATTTTGAGCAGATCCCTCTTTCCTCTATAGAGTTAGCCCAAGCCCAAAGTTCTTAACTATATACAATTTATTGAATTACCAACATTTATTTATATATATAACTCATTAAGATAGACATAATTACAGCTATAAATACAAATATACCTATAAAGGTCTATTAGCTGGAGGAAGTCAGCCCTAGGGAGGGCATTCGGGTAACTACCTGTGCCTCAGGCCCAGAAGAGGGGTGGATCCCAGGACAGTCAATCGAGCAAGTTTATACCACAAGTGAGTTAGCTAATAAAGACATCCTTACAGAGGCCATTATACAGAATTAATACACCCAACTATTTATAAACACCAGCAATAACAATAGATACCAAATAAGAAATATAACCATAGCAGATATTAGACGCCCTATCTGAGTTCCAACCACTTGGTCCCTCAAATGGGATAGGGTCTTCTCCCCCTAGGCCCACTCCCCGCCAGGGTCCCTTGCCTGGGGGCACCTCCCCTGTGGGACCCGGGTTCCTGGTAACTCACAGTTCTTCCTCTGGGGGTTGTCAGTCTGGCCTCTGGGTCCCCACACCGTCTCAGGCCTCCTGGAGCTGTTGGCTTCAAGTTGAGGGTTCTTCCCTCTGGGCCCTGGGCCCCACATTGGGCACCCAAAGAGCTCCTATGGGAGCCGAGCTCTCGCTGACTCCAGTTCCTCAGCCTCACACCATGGGTCTTTCCCCTTCCTGGGCCCTGCTCAGGGCACCGGGGCTCTTAATGCTGAGCCACACTGCAGGGCTCTAGTTATCTGGCCTAGAGCCGAGGCTAACTTGAGGGCTGACTCTCTGTGTGTCAACCTATGCACCATGGGGGGCCCCAAGCAGCCTTGAGCTGCTCCCAGGGCCAGCTCTCCATGCGCCACTCGCGTACCTCCCTGCCCGGCTGCCTGCCTGCCAGAGTTACGGGCCTGAGCCTCCTTGCTGCAGCTCCCAAGGCCCGGGCCTGTGCACCGCCCTGTGCGCCATGGAACCTGTCGGCCCTCCGGGGCTGCAGGCTCAAGCCACCGTTCACGGCTCCTAGAGCCCTAGCTCCGTGTGCCGAAATGCGCACCGTGACACCCAGCCGCCCGCTGGGGTTTCAGGCTCGAACTGCCACTTGCGACTCCCAAAGCCTGGACTCTGTGCACCAAACTGTGCACCGTGATGGGCCTGAGCAATCTCACACTGCTCCCAGGGTCGGGTCTCTGTGCACGATCCCCAGGTGTCGTCCACAGCCCGAGTTGTCTTGCACCGCTCCCAAGGCTGCTCCTTCAGCAGTGGCTTCAGGAGCCTTGGGCCTATTGCCTGCTGGGGAAGAGCTCCCCAGCTTTTCTTACTTCACTCTTCTTAAGTCCCTCACTGTATCTCTTCCCCAGCCTACTGAGCACGCTCCCTTTTTATACTTTTGAGGGGCTCCATCCCCAAAGTCCTCTGGACCTGACTGGTGCAGTTCCAATCCAGGTCCAGTTGCTTCTTGCCCCCTCCCTTCGGAAAAAGGGTGGGGCATTGCTTCCCTTCTGCTGCCTCCGGATTGGTGGGTGGGCTCCGCCAATCAAACAGCAGACCCTTGATTCTGGGACTCAACCCAAGCTCTGAGAAGGTAAGCCTGCTAGGCTAACTTATAGGAGAATTCCTACCTCTCTGTTTATCTATATTTTTCCTGTTTGTAAAACTTGTATTGTTTTAAAAAATAAGGGCATCTATACATGTGCTCCAGGATGGAGCGGGGGATGCTTTAGTTATAGTGGCTCTAAGAGTTGCTCCAATGAAAGCACCCACAGCATCATGTGTATTCAGCATCCCATACTTCAAAATGGTAGCGGGGGTGCTTGACTAAAGCTTATTCGATGAGCTTTAGTTTAAGCACCCCTGCCACCATTTTGAAATGCAGGGATACATGTGAAGCGGAGGCTGCTGGAAGGTGCTAATTAGCATGCATCAGAGCAGAGTCTGTCACATGTATAGATGCCCTAAGATTTGTAAGCTTCATGCATCAGAGTATATGCTGGTCAGGAAAGAATGTTACTGCACAGCTGTGGAATCAGAAAAAAATAAATGCCTTAAACTTTGATCATACGAGTTATAAGATGACATAACTGCTTTGTGGGGAATTGCTGGCTCTGTACAGTAGAACAGATAAGGGAAAGTGTTTGTTCTTTGTAACTCCTCTGCAACTGCTTCGCTCACCGTGGCCTTGAAGATAGCAGAGAAAAAAAAAAGTATGTACAACTCTGATTTCCAGGTGCAAGAAGGGAGTGCTATTTCTTGCTTTGTGAAGTAACCTCGTCTCCCCCATAGTTCCCATCCTGATAACAGCAAAGCAGTATGAGCTAATGTTTGTTTGTAGCTGCTTTTCCTAGCAAACTCCACTATATGATCACGTGAGTTGTAAGCGACTGTTAAAAAGTATATAAGCCTCCTAATTTTGCTTTTGTGGGGGGAACCCCTTCCAAGTGCTTGGGAATTCCATGTCACTTTAGAGTCCCCCCTGAAATGCAGGGATACATGTGAAGCGGAGGCTGCTGGAAGGTGCTAATTAGCATGCATCAGAGCAGAGTCTGTCACATGTATAGATGCCCTAAGATTTGTAAGCTTCATGCATCAGAGTATATGCTGGTCAGGAAAGAATGTTACTGCACAGCTGTGGAATCAGAAAAAAATAAATGCCTTAAACTTTGATCATACGAGTTATAAGATGACATAACTGCTTTGTGGGGAATTGCTGGCTCTGTACAGTAGAACAGATAAGGGAAAGTGTTTGTTCTTTGTAACTCCTCTGCAACTGCTTCGCTCACCGTGGCCTTGAAGATAGCAGAGAAAAAAAAAAGTATGTACAACTCTGATTTCCAGGTGCAAGAAGAGGGTGTTAGTTCTCGCTTTGTCTCCCCCATAGTTCCCATCCTGATAACAGCAAAGCAGTATGAGCTAATGTTTGTTTGTAGCTGCTTTTCCTAGCAAACTCCACTATATGATCACGTGAGTTGTAAGCGACTGTTAAAAAGTATATAAGCCTCCTAATTTTGCTTTTGTGGGGGGAACCCCTTCCAAGTGCTTGGGAATTCCATGTCACTTTAGAGTCCCCCCTACAGCTGTAGTTTCATTTGAATAAAAGCTTCTGCTGACCTGACCCAAAAGTATGCTGTGTGTGTTTCCACGACACAGTGAAGTAGAGCTAGCATCAAGGGCTAAAAAATGGGTGTTTTAGGCCTTCATTTAAAGCATCTGGCATTGGCCACTGCTGTGGATAGGAACTGAAACTGTGTAGGTCACAGAAAATTGTGATGCTGTAGTATGTCTTGCGTTCCTAATTGGCAGCATAGGAAAATGGTGTGAGAAAGAATTGGGTTGGGAGGGAAGGCAGCCAGCCAGTCCCAAGTTCTTTGGTTCCACAACAAATGGCTTTTAAGGCATTGCTATTTGAACACCTAATCAAACTGCAAACGTATGCCCAAGCATGATATTTCCATAGAGGTGGAATTACCCAGCGGAACTGAAAAATACTGGGCCAGAAGAGCCAGAGTTACACCAGGGGTTATTTTGGCCTTTGATGAAACTATACTTCAATCTACCTTGCACTACTCTAGATGTAACGCACGTAAGAGTTCTGCAGGTTTGGGAATCTGAAAAAACCTAATGCAGTGCAGTTAGCAGAAACCCCTCCTTCAGGAGAAAATTTGTCTCACCATCCCTTCATATTGCAGACACATTAAAGTAAGAAATATAATCCATGACAATCAATCACTGCAGTATTCTGGCTTTCTCTCCTTTTTATGTGGTGACATAATGACTTTTCCCTCAGTTTCTGGCAAGATAATTGAAATAAAATGGAAAATATTTTCTTACTTGTCATAAAATTTGCTGCTGGTGACATTAAGTAACTTTAACTCTTTATGGAAAAGATCCCATCCCCTGTGATTATCAACTCTGAAAAGAATACATTGTCTAAATAACCCCATGTAAACTATAAAAAAGAGCACTGATTTTTTTGGTGTAATAAAATCTTTAACACAATCTTGCCTAGATTTTTAGGTGTGGAATTAGCAGTTCTGATGGCTGGAAATTAATAGAGTGATTGCTGGATCTTAGTATGCAAAAACGGTACTCTAAAATACTGGATCACAGGATATTTACTCACTTTTTTAGGTGTTGAGTTCCAGAAATATCTGACACCAAAAAATATCAGAATAAGAAAAATCACCAGTATGCAGAGCAGTCCACAGATCTTGCATCTTTTGCAGATCTTTCTCGTCTTAGTTGATTCTGCCTAAGTAATTACAAAATAACAATATCAAGTGGTTTGCTTACCGTTCCAAGGAATGGTGGAAACATATGTATGTCAGACTGCTATTATGTCCTAAGTAATAAATATATGGGAAATTCTGTTTTGGTAAAGAAAATCATTAACTTACATCTAGAAAGTGACAGTCCTCAGGTTTCTCCTGAGAATTCTTTTCCATGATCTCTAAGTGAAAATTTCTTCGTTCACTGTGTGGAGACGACGGAGAGACCACTTCTGAGGTGGAGCTACAAATGCTTTGGGCTGTACAAGCCAGCAGGGAGAAATTCTCTGTTACTATGACTCCAGTGTGACATGCTTAAGCCAGCTTTACTATAGGAGGCTATAGTGCATCAGCTTAAGTGTGAATGTTTGCTGGCACTGAAGGGTATAAGGGCAAGTGGTTGCCTTATGGACTAGGAGAGTGACTGAGGGCAAGATCAAATGCAGCAGCTTTCACTGCTCCTGCAGCATCTGAGCATTTTATACATTTACTGAAACTAGAGAGAAGTAATTCCTGGCCCCTTCACTCCCCTCTGCCCCTTCACACCCTCTGCTTTCTTTTCTTGTCTATTTTTCCCAGCTGTATATCCCATCAGATATTCATTAAGTGCCTTAATGCAGACAGTTCTCCTTTATTACTCCCTCATGCCTAACACCTGGGTGGATGAAATGAGCATGCCCTTGCCACAGCCCTACTGGAGAGGCACTGGAGTGTACCTGCTACTTGGGGATCCTTCATCTGACAGCACAAGGGTCACACATTTCTGGTGTAAGAAGATGATGGAATTCCCCTGACTTCAAAGGGCATGGATTTACCTCAGGGCTGAACACCAGTGCAAACCTAAAGATGGAGTTCACCTTAGCAGTGTGCATGGAACACTCCTCCTGCCTGGAATTTGGAGGCATGCAGCGTAGAACAAGGGGTGCAGCTAACCTGTGCACTTATTTTGTCTTCATTGTGGAATCTCCTTGGCACTCCTTGGTTCCCAGACCATATCCTGGCAGACTGGTGAAGTCCCACTATGCTGCAAGTGATGATCTTACAGGAAGATGCTTTGGGGGATTTTCTCAGTGAAGCACACAAAAGCTCCACAGGAGAGGAATGCTGTAAAAGGGCGTGGCTACTCTGCCCCCAGGTGTGCCAGGAGGTGATGCTGGGAGAACACGCCCTGCTCCCTATGCACCCAATGCTGAAAAAAAATATAATGCGGCCAACAGTTTGATGTCTGCCCAGGGCACATCCAGTGTCAATCTTGTTCTTAGGTGTTCTGATAGAGCAGCATTTTTTTGGTATTTGAGGTACATGGAATAGGAGTAAGTATGTGGGGAGGGGTGTTTTTACTGTGTTACTGCTTAGGGAGGGCAGAGACAGTGCAGATGGGCCCAAGGAGTTTACTGAATGCCCTCTGTGTTGGTTAGAAATCTGTACTTTGGCTAATCAGGACTAGAGCTCTTTTATTATGTACTCCTTATATTTGGAACCTGCTTTGCATTTTCCAATGGGAAGGTCAGACTACAAAGATGTAGTCAGCAGTTTTTGGATGAAATTCTTTGGTCAGAAAAATTGATTTGTCAAAACTGAAACTTTCATAGGATTTTAGCAGTTCTGATAACTTTTCTCATGTTCAGGATGGACTTTCTGGTCAAAACAAAAGAGAATCCCCCATGTGAGAGCAGGTTAGGCAGTCATATGGGAAGTGGGAAACCCAGGTAGGTACAAGTCCCTGCTTTGCCTGCTTCAGACCCAGGGTTTGACTAACTTTCTAGCTGTTCTCTCTAACTACCAGGCTAATGCCTATCTGGATTTCTTACCCGTTGTTTTTTTCTTTTTTTGGATTTGTCCCAGTGCAGGAGAAGAAAATACATGACATTTTCAAAAGCATGCAAGGTAAAAAACCTGTTTTTTCATATAGGCACAAACTAGTTGTTCACATGCTATAAGGCAGGGGTGGGCAAAATGCAGCCCACGGGCCAGATGCGGCCTGCCAGGCCATTCTATCTGGCTCGTGGGGCTCCTAAAAAATTTAGAAAATTGATATGTATCTGCCCCTGGCTGCCTGTCATGTGGCCCTCAATGGCTTGCCAAAACTCAGGAAGCAGCCCTCTGCCTGAAATAATTGCCTGCCCCTGCTATAACGGATGCATACTGAACATACACCATAGAAATGCAAGCATCAGCACCTGCAGCAGGGATCAAGTCTTTCACAGCCTTTCTGATATGGTGTTTGTCATTTGTACTTCAGGAAAATCTTAGAGCGAAGAGTAAGCAGTTGTCTGGTCTAGATCCTGGCACTAAGCACTAGTATGTCCACATGCATCCAGCCAATTGACTGCATTCAGAATGGGAACTGAAGTTATTTTATCTTCCCTTGGCTTTATTTCTTCATTATCCTGGATTGGAAAGTGTTCTAGTGACAGAACTGCTGCTCATGAATGCTGAAGGATCCTTTATGCACTGGTCACAGCAGCTTTAATACTAAACCGCTTAGCTTCTCACTGTACTGAGGCCTTTCCTAGAATATTGTTTCAGTTCAGGTTCTGTCCTTGCAGATGGTCTGTTCTAGTAAGCCCAGGATAGTGTGCACCAGGTTCTAGGGCCAGTGCTGCCTTTTTATCAAAACTTTCTATAGGAAGCAAATAAACCTTGTGATGTAGCTCTGTTCTTGAGGCGTTCTGCCTCCCTCCTCCACCCTTGCCTAATGGAAGGGAAAGCCCTTTGGACACAGACAGAGCTGTCAAGGGGTCCAGTCTGGAACTCTGGTGCTCACTCTCCCCTCAGCTGAGAACCACCTCAAACTCTTCTGCTTTCTGTGCCAACTGCACCTTTGCAACTTGCTTTTGCTTGTCAAAGTACAGAGTGGATCAAGCATTGATCAAAATTATACTATACTTAAAAAAAATTCATGTGCAGTATTACCTTGATTGGGAAAAAAGCTCCCATGATAGACATTAGTTATTTCAGTTAATGCACCACTGGAAGGCACCCAGTTAGGGATAGGGAACCTGCATAAATGAGTAAAGCTGTGTCAGTTGTTCCTGAGTCCTATAGGTGCCTACTGCTGCTCCTTACCTGGGAGGAGGAAAAGGAGTTTTTCCTTCCCTTGCATAGGGGAAAGCATAGGGATGTCAGCCTCCAGCAAAATCTGTGCTTTGTACCCAAAATGTGGTGCCCTTCCTCACCACTAGTTGAGAGCCTGCCCCTCCAGCTATGCCTTTCATACCTATACCTTTCTCATCTCTAGTTAGTCCTTTTCTGTTACTGATGGGCATGTGCCTCATAATGCCATTGAGGAGCTGTTTCCTCCAAGCAGAAACAGTTCATGTTTGTGAAGGGCTGTAAGTGCTCCCAGTGTGTTGTTAAAGATGAAGGTTCCATGCTGAGGCTCCAAGATGTACAGAAGAGAAAAATGTGTAGCCTGGGAAAGAGGGCTATGATGGCTTAGTTTAATCATCTTCCCTCCTCCTTGAAATTCTGGGTTGTCTTAATGGCTGTGAGGGCTTCTACCATAATATAGACAGCTCTGGGCAGTTATAAGAGTCACAACAGCATCCCCCAAACTATGTTTTCAGCAGTACAGCTGTCCAGAATATCTAAATTACTGTCCACTGTGACTGTCCTACCACATCTCTTTCAGGCCCAGACATCACCTATATGCCAGTGCTTTCATGTGGGTTCTGAGAGGCCAGTGATGCACTGGCTGTACTTGGGTCTATTTTGCTGCTTAGACCCTTTATTATATGTTCAGAATCCACTAGTATTTTTCAATGTGTAATTCAGTCCCGTAGGGTTGAATGGGGAAGGTGTGAACTACTTTCTAGTTGTGTGTCCTTTAAGGGTGGCTTCAGGGCCTCATACTTTCTTTCTCTCAGTTCTACTCTCTTTTCCATAATTTTTGGAATGTGGCCCTGACCTAATAATTCTGTTTTCCTTGGGATCCGTATTTTTTCCAGAACTGTAAAATCATTTCAACATGGTGCTTAAAACCTGACAGGATATTCCAGATTGTTGCAGGGCACTTAGTGCACCTGTCACTTCTAGAGGAAAGGCTGAGGAAGAAGCCTGCGGGTGTAGCAGGGGCCAATTAGAAAGTCACTTGACCAGAAGGTGGCTGGGTCCAGCCCAGGGCCTTAGCTGGTCAAGGAGTCTAGCCCTGAGAGTCATGGAGAGAGGAGCTCCTGGGCAGCAGGGCTGCAGCCAGGCTCCTGGGTAACATCGGAGCTGGGGTAATCAATTCCAGAGGTCTGAGGAAGGGACTAAGGGAGGAGAAGTCCCAATAGGCCTGGGAGCAGGGCAAAGGAAGGACAAAGAGGCCTGGGAGATAGGGCTAGAGAGCCCATAGCCTGGAGAGGGGCAGGAGAGAGCAGAGAGCCAAGAAGCAAGAGCCAAGAGCCAAGTCGGCAGGCCCGGATGCGTTTAAGTTGGCAGGCCCGGATGAGCTCCATCCGAGGGTACTGAAGGCACTGGCTGACATCATTGCAGAGCCACTGGCGGGAATAGTTGAACACTCAGGCCAGGTCCCGGAGGACTGGAAAAGGGCCAATGTGGTCCCCATTTTCAAGAAGGGGAGGAAGGAGGACCCAGGCAACTATAGGCCAGTCAGTCTCACCTCCATCCTTGGCAAAGTCTTTGAAAAAATTATCAAGGCTCACATTTGCAAGAGCCCGGCAGGAAAAATTATGCTGAGGGAAAACCAGCGCGGCTTTGTAGCAGGTAGATTGTGCCTGACTAATCTTAGTCTCTTTTTATGACCAGGTTACAAAACACCTGGACGCAGGAGTAGGGGTTGACGTCGTTTACTTAGACTTCAGGAAGGCCTTCGATATGGTATCCCACACCATACTGGTGAACAAGTTAAGAG